TGTGTATACATGCTGTGTTTTTTTGGTTTCTTTTGATCTTTGGCGGCAATATTGTTTTTGTTCGGAATAGCCGGTCTGGTAATCAAACTAAGATGGGTGACATTCAAATTTTTTACTTTTGTTTTTTTTTTCTATCGTTTTAATCTGGTTGTCGTTTTGATCAAAGTCGTTTTTGATTGCTCTAGCAAGGCACCTTACCCCCAATCAAAGCAAACCATTCAATGATACAATTGAAGAAATTCTTAATTATAGTCAAAATAGTAAATCAATAAGAACAAAAGTGCAATCGATGACCCTAATTTAGCAGCCAAAAACTGATACAAACTTTTTACTGATAATATGAAGTTAACTGAAATTACCTTTTTTAAACTCACGATAGATAAAAATATGAATTCGATTTATTGCTGTATCTGGTATTACTTGACACGCAATCAGGTGTAACACTAATGGTTGCATATTGAAAAACCTTATTGGCCTGTAAACAAACAAAAGATACCACTTACTCCGCCTATTCTGTTTATCAACTTAGACAAACAGGATTAGTAAAATAATAATATTACTCCTCAGTCACCGTCACTGGCGTGCACTGAAATTTTTGACATAGGGTGGGGTTAAGTTTAGTCCACCTTTTTTTATTCACCCTCTAAGTTATTTTATGTTCCATAATTTTTGTTTATACTTAGATTCACGGATTTAAAAAAAATGGATAGATACGACTTTTTCAGAAAACATTTTTGAGTTTTTGTTGTTTTTTGTTAGTTTTGCCAAAATTTTGACGTACCACAAAAAAATCCACAAAAAAAAATGGCTGACGCTCCTTGTTTTTCTGAAGAAAAAGCGAAAAAATGTCGTACCTAAGCACCTTTCGCATTCTTTTTATTGGTGGTATATTTATCTAATTCTTGTACTTTTATCATCCAGATAGCCAATATATACATTTGAGGTTGTTTTTTTTTCTTATCTGGATGCCGTTACTGTTTTTATTTTATTGTTTCCAGTTGTAATAAACCAAGTTATGATGAACCTATATTCGAAAAAACGACGCCTATTTTTATCTATAAATTGGGTGGCTCCTTGCTATTGAAATTACCTCACTAGCTTAGCAGATTAATGGCACTGAGCAAAAGCTGCTATTAGATCTTATAATATTATTAATGGATACTAAACCGGTTTTATTAGTCCACCCCTCAGTTTTTTCTAATCTCGAACGAAAAATGAAGAAAAAGTGGAATCATGTCCCCGTAATATGAATAATGCACCAGTTTATTGTCATCAAAAGGATTGTTTTTGCTATTTTTTATTATTTTCTAAGACCTCCCCCCCCTCCTTCTTATTGTAATGAAATTATTTTATGATAGCTATACTGACCTGATTTGGATGTTCACTCTTATAAACAGCTTATATTTTGACCACTTGTCATAGCTAGG